CCATCATACTGGTTTATCAGTTGAGCAAACTGGTGTTTAATATTCTTCACCAGTGGCCAAAAGATTTGCCAAATTAGCAGTTACTGTAGGAAAGGCCTCCGTTCCTTCTGTAGAGTCAACTGGCCTTTTTCGAACTGCTGTCATTCCATATGAATATTAAAAACACACTTTATTTTATGAAAGAATAAAATACTTAGATTAAAAAAATGTATTTTCATAAGGTGAGAGCCTTCAATGTTATCTGAAAATTAAAGAAATTCCAGAATTAATTTTCACAATTTTCATTCTTAAAATACAGGTGACAGGTGACGGAGGACGGGGACGCCTGACGTATAACATAGGTAAACAGGCATATGTCCTACGTCCTCCACTATCTCGAAGAAGCAACTCGCTGGAGCCCCGTGAGGCTGCACCAGGAGTTTACATGGCCATACAGGGGCTAGATGTCGGGTAGTTTTTACATAGGACGTTGTTAATAACACAAAGTAACTTAGAAAGAATATAAAGGATAGCATTAAAACACTAAAACACTCATATAAGCTGAAACACATAGATATACAAAATTAAACGTAAAAGCATAAAAACACACTCGTAATTACGTAACATAAAGACATAGAAACACACACGAAAATACATATCATGACACATAGAATACATATGGAAACACGTAGAGCACATAAATGCAAATATTACACTCAGAGGAAACATATAAGACATAGTAAGGTGTGCGTAAAGCAGTAGTGCTGTGCGGAAATATGCTCAGTTCCCATAATACATAATGTACATACTTTCATTAGGGGCTTCTGTTGCATGAATTACATATTTCGTTGCATACACTACATTCGTGCATTGTACGGATATTATATATTTCGATTTACGATAACACATCATTCCATTGGGTGCCCAGTGCTTCACACTGATAAACATGTCAGTAACATTATATCTGCAAGTTGGTGGCTATTGAAAGCAGATGTTAACACGAGGCTCGAAATTGAATGTGGAATGTGTATTACAGAATGTGTACATACTGCGAATATCTAATAGTTGAGTACATTGTCTGCAGTACCATGCTACTGTGGCTCGCAAATGTCTTGCCCTAGGGCGTTGATTTGCTGTACAACTGCGCAGATGCTCCTTATAGCTGGCGGGTGTTTGATTATGAAACGATAGTAAAGTGTTCTATCATTCGTTGGATGTGGTAAGTGGTGGTTTGTTGTTAGACTGCAGTCAAATAGATAGTGCTCGGGAGAACCTAGCATGCCACAGACACAATTGTCAGATGCTGAGATGCCATGACGCATAAAATAAGATGGAAATGGGCCATGACCCGTTATGTACTGTGTCAGTGGGGCTATTGTTATAAGACGTTCCGTGTCTACCTTTGGTAGGAAGTTATACGTCCTTCTCCCTGTGTCGCCACTATTCCATTCTTCTTGCCACTTTTCTTTACAGATGTTACGCAGAGTTTTCTTGAGGTGTGAGAGACGGGGGTAGGGGCACTTATAGTTTGAGCGTGGATGTTGTTGGCAGCCTCATTAGCCAGTCGGTCTGCGACGTCATTCCCTTCGTTGTCGGAGTGTCCTTTTACCCATACCATGTTAAAGCGGGCTTGATGATTATTGCGTAAAAGTTGCTGTATATCTATGATGATGGGTGAAGTGTGGTGATGATCCCTGAGTGCGTGTAGCACTGACATGCTATCTGTGTAAAAAGTCGCATTGGTAAGGGAAAGGTTGAGGGCATGTCGTAGCGCATTCAATATTGCTAGTGCCTCTGCTTGGAAAATACTATTGCTGTTAGTGAGATGTCCTTTCCATTCCTTTACTAGTGTGCCATGTTCGTAGTGAGCAAACGCGCAGCCCACTCCCTGATCATGTTTTGATCCATCAGTGAACAGTTGTGTAATCGCACAGGAAGTGCGTTGTCTGGAGTGCGATGGCTGATGTTGGATTTTGACATGGATCCCTCTACCTTTGATGGCAGGGTGGATGTGTTGCACACTGCCAGGGAGTTCATAGTCTGTTGTTCTGAACGTAATTCCTGCATATGTGGCTTCTTGTCTGTGATGAGTGATTCGTACATAGGTAGCCTCTGCCTCTGCCTTTATGTGTAATGGCAGCAGGCCTGCAAGTATCGTGGCGGCGCTGGACGCTGTTGTGCGATAACCTCCGCAGATGTTTAATGCAAACGGCCGTTGATTGAATTGTGGTCAGTAGCTTGGTCTTTCGGCTGTTCATTGGTTGTGCCCATATGACTGCTGCGTCGTAGAGAATTATTCTCTCTGCCACTGTCAGATATAATAGTTTCCTGATATGGGGGTTTTGTCCCCAATTTCTCCCTTGAAATTGCCTGGCTTTCCTTGCGATGGTCGATGTTTTTGTACGTATTTCTTGGAGGTGCGGTAACCAGGTGAGTCTTTGATCCCAAGTGACTCCTAGATATTTAATCGTCTTCGTTATTTTTAAGTTCTTGCCCAGTAGCTTTATACATGGACGTCTTGTGGGATTTGTGCCAGGACGTGGAATTACGATGGCTGCGGACTTTTGCCGAGAGATGGTTAACTTAAGTTTATTGCATAGGTCCGTGAATATCGAGCAGGTTTCTGTGGCATTCCGTTCCAGTTCATCTCTTGTGCGGCCAGACACCAGAAGGGCTACATCGTCGGCGTATGCTATAATATCTGTGTGCAAAGGCCATTCATGTTGTAGTATGGAGTTAAAGGTGATTATCCAGAGCAACGGACCGGCGCAAGAGCCTTGTGGACACCCTCTTTCCTGCCGCTTGATAGTGAGGCCATTGTTGTTGGCTACTATGAGGCTACGTGCATGTAGATAGTCCGTGATGATGATGTTAAAGATGTTTTGGGACATTGTGCCTCTCTAAGTGCTTGCTTTATAGCAGGCCACCAGAGGGTGTCAAAGGCGCTTTGCAGGTCCAGGGATATGAATGCCGTGTGAAGATTTCTGCCTCTATTTTGTTCTATGCTATCTTTAAGATGACTCAGGGCATGCGTGGTTGACAAGCCAGTTTGGAACCCGTATTGCCGTGGGCTGAGGAAGTTGGTCTGCTCGAGATGGAATTTAAGTCTGTTTACCAGTAATTTTTCATAAATTTTTCCCAGAGACGAAAGTAGGCAAATTGGCCGAAACGAGCTTGGGTCATCTGGGGATCTCTGCTTCTTCAGGAACAGGACCACTTCTCCTTTTTTGAAAGCAGTTGGGAAGATCTGGATTCTTAAAATACAGTAAAAATTAAAAAAAAAATTAAACAATAGTACAAAAATATTATTCGCATTAGAAACCTTCCCTAAGTAAAACATTTCTAATTTTTGCCAAATTCAATCATTTCTTTTTCCCACTTCAGAAATACAAAACTACATTTTAAATAAATCATAATATTTTTAAATTATTAACTTTGATCTCAATATGATTTAAGCAAAATATGACCATTAATAAATCATAAAACAATAACTTAAAAAATGCAACTTTTCTTTTTTTTTTTTTTTCTTTTCCGAAACGAAATAAACTCAATTTGGAACTTAATATCACTTCACGATCACATTTCATAACTTTTGATAATATTGCATTTTTTGAATAGGAAGAATTAGACGAATAAAGCGCTGAACATGCAAGAGAGCACAAAATACTATTTGGCATTTCATATTTCACTGATGAGGTTGATGACCTTCAAAGCACTTTGGATGTTTAATTTTCTTTCTACGCGATGATCAGAGATGCATAAACATTGTGAATATTCGAAGCGAGCAAAAACGATTAACCATATTTCACTACGTTGGCGACACTGACCTTGATTCCGAACACTTTCGATTTTGAACTTACAGATTTACTCGATGATTTCAAAGCACTTTTAAAATATGCCGTTAAATCACACACCGGAAACGAATTTGATGATTCACTGGTAGTTTGAGGCAGCAGAGTTCGAAATCCATTCGGGGAAACTTGCACCAGGTTAATCCTGTCCGACTTTTTACATATATACGAGTATATATATGTGTGTCATAATAAGAGCAAAGGAAAAGACGGAACACTGTAGATGCGTGCTTAGATCGATATTGAAGAAGAATTTTGATTGCGTAGTATTTAAGAAGCTTGGCAGTCGAGGCAGTTTTAATTCCATTTTTATTTCCAATTGATATTTGTGGTCACAATCACTTGGCACTCTAATCGTGCCTTTACACAGAAGATTTACATTTTTAATATTTTTGAGATAGAAAGCGAGCCAGCGAAATTACATGTTAGCACAGTAGAGAGCTAAAGCTGAAGTGCGTAGTTATGAAAGATGGAAGCACGCGAAGAGAAAAGTTTTGGTTTACAATTTGGTGATTGGTCGTCAAGAGGCATCTGGTATTAACGGTTACGTAAGTTTGCATGATTAATTTGAATGACGCAATGCAGATAAGTTATTACGATTTTAGAATAGCGAGGAAGAATTAATGTTTATAGTTATATTATAATTCTGATTCATACATTGTTATCTTACATATATATATATATATGAATTTAAACAAATTTAAATTTACATTTTAACAAACACGTATAAAAGTAAAAGCAAAATTAAAGCCAAAAAATATATGAATATACATATGAATAAAGATTTATGCTTACCAATGTAGTAATAATAATGTGTGAACATGCAATCAAAAGCGAAATATATGGCAAATTGAAATTATTTAAAATGACATTAAAATTTGCTCTTCGTTCTTTTTTTCTTTTTGTTTTGTGCTTTTTTTTAATAAGATGATATTTTTTTAATCCCAATTGAATTTGTATAAAATATTTTTACGATATATAAAATGCACCAGTATATTTATTACATAATACCTAATTTTCCTAATTTTAGTAATGTAAGCAAAATGTTGTGTAATTAAATTACAGTTAAAAATCATTCAGACCTCGTATTTCATTTCATATTATTATTTATTTTTTTGCAAATCAGTTAGACAAATGCATTATTTTTCCATATGTTATTTATATTTCCAGGTTTGGTTCTTATGCTTTCGCCGGAGCGAACATCATTGATTATGTGACTGCTCCTCTGAATTCCGAAAACGAGATTGAAGAAGTAAGTATTTATTAGTTAAGAGACATATTGTTTTTATATGGGATTGAAAACGGAAATGAAATAATGGTATTAAATATAACTGTTTTGCAAAAATGGGTAGCGGTAGAAAACACAAGTTTGCTCCTTTTTTAAATATATAAAGAGTTAATCCCTTTAACTTAAATTATTAAAATCTTTCTTTGAGAAAATAAAATAATTTGGGCAACCAGCTTAACCATTAATCATTTCATCACTGGAATAAGAAAGGTATAACATGATTTTCATTTTTGAGTGCTTGTTTCGTTTACTTAAGGCAAAATTACAGTATATTTTTGTTTGAAACTGAGAATTTAACAGTAGATTTATCTCTATAACGATATATTAAACCTTTGTTAAACAAAGTGAGTAATGAAATGTAAAGAAAGCCGAAAATCTGATATTAGATGGTACAGATTGGTTTAACAAATCAAATCACGCCTTCTTTAAAATGAAATTTGAGTTTCGTATTGATGATGGTTTTAATTTACATGCTTTACAGTTTAAAATTATAGTAATTTTATTTTTAAAATTATAGTATTTTATAAGTAACGGTATAGTGTGCACGACTTCTAAGGCCACGCATAAAGATTTTTATATCAGCTTCAACGTGCTTATGCATTTGTTTTCTTAAAGCACTCTTTTTTGTTTGTAAGATGATAATATTGCTAATGCATCTTTACAGTTTCGTAGGCCATGTTACACAAAATGTCATAACATTTTGCTATGAACATTTGTTTTTGCAAATTTTTTTTCTATACATTCTTAACCATTAACTAATCTTTGTCTCCATTAAGTGTACGTAATAGGTAGGATAATTCCTGTGGAAAAGCAGCATGAGTAGTTCTGATTAGTTGAAACATACATAAGATACTTGGTTACAGAACAGAAATCAATATGTGAAAAAACAAAAAACAAAACAAAAATTTCCGGATTTCAGTCCCTCTCTTTTAGGCAAATGTACGAAATAACACATTTATTAAACTACAAAATGGTTTTTCATTGATTAATATTTCTTAATTTTTTCTCTTATTTTCTTAGTTGGAAAGCTTCCTGAAGAGGAGAAAAACGTCATTTGCTAATATTCGCAAAATTTTGAAATTAGTTCTGGACAGATCAAAGAGCAATTTGGAATGGATGAAAAAGGAGTATCCAGAAGTCTCCAGATGGTTGCGAGAGAATTCCTTTTAATAAGCTCTTTGCATATTTGTTAAAAGATCATTATATCGTCCCTGGTACAGTGTGCCAAAATTAGATTTTTTTTAAACTTTACACTATTAGGATTTGTATTTATTTCGGTAGGAAAATTTGTTTTGCTCTTCGTCTTATGAAGGGATTGGTGTTTCACAGAATAAAACCTGTTTCATTAATGAAAACTATTGCTCAAACACATTTGAATGTTGTTGCAAATTTATACGAGTCTTTAAATGTCTTTTGTAACTCATTTAGCGTGCAATTCGTATATTCTGACGTGTTATCAGTATTATACATTTTTGATAAAATGATGTAAACTTGAATGTTTTTTGTTTGTGAAACTGTTGCTCATCAATGTATAATAAAATCCACTTGTTAGAGAATTTGGTTTTGACTTAGGTAGAGCTGTGTTTGTACTAAGACGAGAAACTTTTACATTAACATGTAAATGTAGTATTACATTCAAAGATAACATTCTGAATGCCCTGATGGTCAAACTTGTTTTCACGTACCTATTTCATGAAGTAAGCAATCGATTTGGTTTTCATGGAATGAGCAATGGCCAAGCTTATTATAATTAGTTAATCAAATTTCATCAAATTGTTTTAAAAATGTATATAATGGTATAACGTAATTCAGTGGCAGTATAAGGCCTTTGTACCTTTCCCAGCAAAATTCTATAATTCGCGGTTGACGTCAATGTTTTTCAAGTCAAAATACTTATTCTTTTATGGCGCTTAAATATCGTTCGGGGAAACTTTTGATGTACAAAGCTATTAGCCTTTCAGAAGCAGAGCAAACCATAACAGAAGTGGCAAGAAGCTGATTGCTTCATTGCATGCTGTTTCTGGTCCCTGGAAATAACTTAAAGGCTTTAAAATTGTTACTAATGAGCAGGTAGAAGGGGTTCGTAGAAAAACAATAGCTTTTTTAGATCAGTTTTTATCCGTAACTGGCTGTCAGTATTTTGTTATCATCAGTCCGAAGCAATACAAGAGAGTAAGGAGGAGGAAGAGAGAGGGAGAGAATCCTTTTAACCTAGTGTGCAAATTTGAATCCTTTTAAAGAAGATGTTTGACTGACATCTCATGATAAATTGCTGCATCATAGATGGCATAATATTATTGCAAATGCAAACATACAAATGCTCTATAGTTATAATTTTCTCGCAATATTCTTACAGATACTAACTGTTGGTGAAAGTTGGAACTAAAAATTAATAAAAATAAATAAATAAATAAATAAATAAAATAATTAAATAATTAAATAAATCAATCAATAAAAAAATCTGGAAGGTTTCAGATTTTAAATTACGTCCAAAGGGGCGTTTTTAAAACATTTTGTGTGTTATCTTTATTTATTAAATATCATGTTCTTCGCTCTGAAACCCTAAAATTCAGTTCAAGAGCAATATGGCAAAATAATTTTAAAATGAGCATAACTTTAGAATTTCTGATACACATTCTCGCGCACTGGAGATAAAAATGTTTTTTCTAAACAACGTTGCCATTGCTCGCTTTGAAATCCTTGAGTTTGTTAATCAAAAATTCAAAGTTTTACAAAATATGAAACCGATAATAAAACAAATTCCAAATTTCAAATTTGGGCTTCCAGATGCCCATATTCGCAGGAGGATTACGTTATTCAAAATTTGATGGCTCTGGGTACCGTTGTTTTATCACAATGCGAGAAACATACATACATTTATGCAGCTTCTTCTTTATTTAATTTCTTTAATAGTGAATATTTAAAAGGGGATACTATTTGATGGCAACAATTTGAAAAGTGAAACAACGCAGAAGGTGAATCAACGCAAAATGCCAAACGTAATTAATAGTCCTTCTGGGCAAATTTCTGCTTTGGACAAAAAAAAAAAAAAAAAAAAAAAAAAAAAAAAAAAGTCTCTTTGATAAGATTTAAGACACAAGCCTCACTGAGGCAAATCTATTTGCTGATTTTATGTGATTTTTTAAAATGTGTCCATATTTATGGTGTACACTGTGTGTGTGTGTAATTACTATACTTATGGATGAACGTGGAAAATTATTTGTGGCTGTGTTCTCTAGTAAGTTACTTTCAACGAAACACTCTATTTACCCAAAAGTGCATTTTTGATAGTGTGATTAGCATTTCAACTGTTTACTAAATTTTTGACACAATTGGAAGCCTTAGTTTCATTCTTTCTATTAAATTTATTGTTAGATCATTAGAATATATTAGATTAGTTATTATTAGTTTATTAGATTCTATTATTATATTTCTATTATTAAATTATTCCCATTAGATTTTTATTAGATTTAATTACATGAGGAGATAAATCATAGAGAGTTTACTAAAAAGGTATATTTGCTGTTTTTCCTCGAGTAAAGATAGGCGGCTCGGTAAATTTTTCTGCAATCATTAGAAAATTCATTTATGAATGCAAAATCAAAATACTTTCAATTTAAGAATGTATACTCGAAGTTTGCATATGTTCAGAGTCGAAGATATAAGAGTACATAAGCAGAGGTGCAGTAAAATAATTACATGGAATGATTTCAGGCGTCAAATTCAGCCGGCATTTTTGAGAGAAATCGTAATTTCATCTGGAACACACTGAAGCCTCAAGATATTCTCTGGTATTTCCTTTTATAACTGAATCACAATATTAATAGAAAATTCTGCTATTATACGCAATATTTTACTGCTGAGAAAAAAGATTCCATACCGAAATTCGATGCCTTCAAGAATTTTTATGAGCTGTTCCCACTTGTCAGAAATTTGGCATTTTGTCTAACAGCAGAAAATGAAAATATTCGCATTCCATGAAGTTATATTTCTTAAACGATCGAATTTTATGGCTCGAAATTCGTGTGCGATGCCGAATTTGGGGAATTTTCAGATATGTTTTTAGTGAAAAGAGATCGCTGTGTATCTGGGTGAGAAAAACAGCGCAAAAGTTACGCAAAGATTTCTTGAAAAATGCAATGGACTTTTCTTGCTTTAATGATTGTATTGATTTACTGCTCTGTCATGGAGTTCTTAGTGCACTGCCATTTTCAAAATGGTTATTGCCTTTCGCGTATTAGCTTGGTAAAAAGTTAGTCGAGAACGAGTTGGCGACTTTTTGAAAGGGGGTGCGGATAATCAGAAAGTATTAATTAATTTTATTATTTAACGTTTCATACATTATTGTTATCCCAACGGGCGTAATCTGCTGTAAACTACTGTCTTTTTATCATACTGTACTGTATTTTTATTAACCCATAATCTCTCTACAACTATATGTTTGACTTCTCTTCAGGAGTTTATCCTTGTGCTGTATCATGTATTAAGTATAATCATATATCACTTATTAGAAGTCTTATGCAATAACATATATGACCTCATATTTACATTGCATTATGTTAAATGTATCGTAATCTGTTATTTACACAAATGCAACAATTCCTTATTGCCAAGGTATACTACAACTGTTTAAACTGTATCATGTCATATGCACATCTATTTTTAACTGGCATAATATTCTCAATGTATTTTACCGCAAACATATTAGTCCATACCTTTGTATTTATCATGACTGTAATTTGCTGTAAACTACTGCATTTTTGTCATCCTATACTGGATTTTTATCATACTGAACCGTATTTTTATCATATTATAATCTCTCTATAGTTATATGTTTGACTTCTCCTCAGGAGTTTATCCTCGCGTTGTGTCATGTATTAAGTATAATGATATATCACTTATTAGAAGTCTTATGCAATAACACATATCATTTCTTAACTACATCGTATTATGTTAAATGTATCGTAACTTGTTATTTACACAAATGCAACAATTTTACTGCCAAGGTATACCACAATTGTTTGTAATCAATCATTCATTTTCAATTATGTACTCACGTATTTGAATTAGTGTTGTCCTAGGTGTTCTCTAGATCATGGTGGACGTGGTGCTATACTAATTAACCGTATGGTAGAGGCATAGTGCCCACGTCCCCCGTTCCTTATCCTTATCCCAACGGGCAATTTGCCTAGAAGGGTTATTAATTTCGTTTTGGCGTTTCGCGTCGTCCAGTATAAAACGGCGTTTCACTTTTCAAATTGTTGCCACCAAATATTAGTGCCCTGCATTCTGTTTAAAGAAATTAAATAATGAAGAATCTGCATGAATGTATGTATGTTTCTCGCATTGTGAGAAAACAACGGTACCTAGAGACGTCAAATTTTGAGTAACAAAATCCTCTACTCGAATATGGGCATGTGGAAACCCAAATTTGGAATATGGAATTTGTTTTATTATCTATTTCACATTTTGTAGAACTTTAACGAATTTTTGATTAACAAACTCAACGATTTCAAAGCGAGCAGTGGCAACACTGTACAAAAAAAAAAAAAAAAAAAAAAAACTTTTTTATCCCCAGCGCGCGTGACTGTGTATCGGAAAGTCTAAAGGTATGCTTTTTAAAAAATATTTTGTGATATTGCTGTTGAATTGAATTTTATGGTTTAAGTGCGAATAACATGATATTTAATAAATAAAGGAAACACACAAAACGTTAAAAAAAACGCCCCTTTAGGCGTAATATAAATCCGAAAGCTTTCAGATATTTTTTTAAAACTTTTTTCACCTATCCCGAGGGTTCTGCACTTCTAATATTAGAAATTATATCCTGGTATATTTAGGCATAGACCTAACAGATAAACAGAAAGAAGAATGGACATTCATACTGAGAGTGAAACAAATATCGCAAAAACAGTTAGCTTCCAGAAGGGAAAGATAACCGACTGACGTTAAATAAATAACCGACTTACGTTGACAGACATGAAAGAGAATGCATTCACAATTAGATATCGAAATTTAAAAAAAAAATAAAATTTCATATTAAATACATTGAAATAAACTTTTGCGTTTTTTTTTTTTTTTTTTTTTCAAACCTGAGCGTCATTGTTGACCTTGTAGCTAAACAAACATTCACTTGTACAACAAGTTCCACCACTAGATGACGCTAGCAGACGATGAATCTTTATCATTAGATTTGCGTAGGAAATACTTTTCTATTTTTGCACTTATTCAGCAATTATTATTCTGAACAAGTATCTGGGCGTTACAAAGGGATTATTTAATAATTATAGATATTTAATACCATTTTAAATCTACCTTATAATGAAATTATAAAAAATTCTGATCCATATAAAGAAAATGCTTCGCATTAATATTGATATCAGTTCTTTTAATACATTTCAGCTAAGATGCAGAATATTACCAAATAAATAATGTTTAAAAAAATAGTAAAAAAGCACAAGATTGAAGCTTAAGTCTATATGCAAGCTTTCATAAGGAAGAGAGGGACGTAATTTTTAAAGTAGAAACATTTGCTATGCAAATTCAAGAACGATTTTTTTT